GTTGTTGGAGTGTCTACTATACAAGGTACCATTGTCTACGACATGACGAGACCTCGTCGTGTGGAGGAGTAGCCATGTTTAATATCTGACACACTAGAGTCCACAGGCGCTACTGTCTGGGAACAATGGATTCAGAGTTCCACTCATGTCTCTGTATCCGTGCAAGTACAGCCAACACAAAAACTCATGTGGAGTGTGTAGTCGACCACCCCATGATAGATGAAGCAATTGAAATCTATATTTTATTCTTCAGAGCCTCGTATGTCAGGTTTTTCCCACTACTTTGGGACTAATAATGGGCGCACGAACAATCTGGAGATACTCCCAGGCAGACTTTACCAACAGCCAATGCTGTATACTCTCACAGACTGGAGTGATATTTACAGAGAATCAGACATTGAGAAAGCATGGAGTCTGTCTGTGGCACAAGACATTTATGGGAATAGTGGAAATGTGTATACCCAAAGTGACCATTATGGCAACCCCACGTAGTCTCCCCTGGTTGAACAATTGTATCAGAGCAAAAATAAACAAACGAAATTGTGTCTATAAGAGAGCAGTAAGCTCCAGAAATACCGACTCACTTCTCCAATACAAAAATGGCTTCATTTTGAAAAAGGTGATTTTCATAAAACTACTGCGTTCTAAAGTTATGGCATGAAAACAAAGTGAACAAGCCAATATGCACAGGCTTACCTCGACTGGGTCCGCTTGCTCTGTGTATCTTGAAGGCACAAGAAGTAACAACGAAGGGTGTGTATCGACTCTCGCATGCTATCTTCTACTGTAGCTAGCCCGTGTCAGACTCTCCACGAGCTCAGCAGGAGATCACGAGTAAACAGCCCAGCCCATCAATTAGCGGTACCGCACATGCACATTTCGCTGAGGGTTCCCACTTTAGTGTAGAAGGGGATATAAGGGATGGCTGGAAGCACCAAAAAGAAACAAGGTCTCTTTATAATTTATATACACAAAGCTGATGACACAATTCCTATACCTTTGGGATGGTGTCATGTAGCCTTGTGCATCATTGCTGTGTAATGACCAATTGCTTCTTCCTTTTTGGTGCTTCGAGCCATGCCTATCCCTTTGAAGACTTTCCACTATATTTAACAAATAGCTATAGCAACACTGCATTTATTCATCTGATGTGCATGTTGTAGGGTGACCATGGACATCGACAAATTCCATCCTAGTTCAATATTTTCGTAAAACAAAGACATTTTTGCCCTATGTAACCAGACAGACAACAGAAGCTACATGACTCGACTCAGGTTGTCTGTGCAACCTGAACATTCCTCACCTGCCCTGACTTACATCCCCACATGTAGAAAATACCATGTGATGCCAAGAGAAAAAACATGTGGAGCTCTGGACAGCTGTTTGGGCCATCATCAGCAGAGCATACCACTCTCTGGCAGCACTTGTGGTTCTGAACTAATGAGATTCATCCCAACAAGGCTTTGCCACTGGTATGTGCTGACCCTGCCCAGACATTTGTGGTTGGAGCCTAGGCCCCTCCCCACTCCTGCTGGTCAAGGCCAGCACCGAGCCAAAACCCGAAATAAAATACTGGCATAGTGGATTGGGCCAAGGCAATGAAGCCAGCAAGCACCCATATCCTGCCAGTGCATACACATGTAGAAAATATGTTATCCTGTTCCCCCATATAACTCGCCCCTTACACTAACACACTATAAAAGCACCTTGCTAAATTCATATGTGTGCTCGACCTGATATTGGTATTGCTATACCTGAGGAAGCTGTTGAACGCGCATAAGCCATGCTACAATATCTAAAACGCTATAATGGATGTACTGATTAGCCTCCAGTGATCATACCTCGGTGGTGGCCTGGTGGACATCAGCACCAGCCTCTAGCAGAATGTCCACTACATCAGAGTGTCCATACTCACTGGCAACATAGAGTGGACTGGCACCATCCTGTACAGTGAGAGAGTATGAAGTAGGACACCACTAGTGAGGTAGTCTGGAACCTAGAGTCCAACTGCTCATTATAATACCACTAGAATGTTTTAATGTGGATGGGGAATTCATATGAGTGCAATAATTAACCCAGATTGCAAGGAGGCAAGTTCGTTCACTCCGCGTGAGACTGGGGAACTTCCATTACTACAATTATTATTGGCGAGTGAAGCGATCCTCAAGGGGCGGATTTTCCATTTATTTATTATATATCCGGCGATACGACACATACCGTAATGTTCTAAATACACGCAAAAAAACGCAGGAAATATTATTGCACTGCTATAAATGATAGCACCGTGACCGTCCGTAATGTGTCATTCTAAATACGCGCAAAACACACACAAAATATTCAACTGCTCGTACCGCGCGTAATGTCCTCCGTGATGCGTGCGAAATATTGATCTGGTTGCCAAACAATGCGTTGCATTCCTCTAGTTAGCTACATATGTAAATGAACAACTTGAGGCCAGCAATGCTGCTGTTCCTTTTCTCCCCCACTCTACAGTGTGCAGCAACTGGCAACAAACACCAGCCACACACACATGCAACCTAGATATGGATACTTCTGGACTTCCAAATATGTGTAGATTGTCCCTTAGCTATAAAGCGCTTATAATTACATAATTAACCCTCAGCGCGCATGCGCTGCGAGGGTTACGGTAGTTGTCCCGTAAGTGTGTGTGCCATGCCATCATTATTACCCTCGGCGCGCATGCACAGCGAGGGTACAGTACTTGGGTCTGTCTGTCTGTTACCACGTTTTCTGCCACCGTGCGCACGGAATCAGGTAAATAGCGATATGATTGGGTTCAGTGCTATGCTGGGTTGATTTTTAAAAAGGCGATTTTCGTAAAACTACTGTGTTCTAAAGTTATGGCGTGAAAACCAAGTGAACATGCCAATATGTAAATTAGCACAGGCTTACCTCGACCGCGTCAGTTCGCTCTGTGTGTCTTGAAGGCACAACAAGTCACAACGAAGGGCATGTATCGACTCCCGCATGCTATTTACTACTGTAGCTAGCCCGTACCAGACTCTCCGCGAGCTACTAGCGGGATACCACGAGTAAGGCATAAAAAGCCCAGCCCATCAATTAGTGGTACCGTACATGCGCAGTTCGCCGAGGGTTTGCACTTTAGTGCTTTTCATTAATGTATTATTGCTACAGGGCATTAATTTGTGAGCTAAGGCCAGTGAAAATTTGATGAATTAGGTGTAAGGCAGCACTCCCAAAATTCCACCATTGTAATGGCAGTTGTATTACAAGTGGAAAATCATTTCTCTATAATTAAGGGGATATAGGAATGGCTGAAAGCATCAATAGCACAGGTACTTCAGGCTACACGACACCATTCCGATCTATGTTCAATAATAATAATTATGGTAACAATGGATGGGGCAGTTGTATTTACGATACAAGTATTCTTTTCCTTCTTGTTATTCTCTATGGCTAGTATGTTAAAAGCATGCTTTTCTTGTAGCATTGTTTGTCTTTGCTGTGTATTGACATTTTTAATGAACAGTTATCGCAACACGATTTGCATGTGTATTTTGTAGGGTGACCAGATGGACGAATTCTAACTTGTTGAAACCAGTAGCTATGGCTGAAGCAGGGTGCAGTAGACATCCACAGAGACAATGTATTGTCTCTTATAAAACGACATAAATTAGGTTATTGCATCTTTGGACAGGGTGGTGGTTTCAAGGGCAGGCTTTAGTAATCAGACTGTATATAACGTTAGCCACAAGATGGAGGCTTCAGTAACTATACATGCAACAGAGAGGTGCAAGTGGAACAGACTCTCGTGAAGTTTCTTAAACAAACAGCAAAATGCAGGTTAGTTTTTGGACATGAAAACTAACGGTATGTACCTTTTGACAGATACTGATGTCAGCTCCATTCTCTATCAGCAGTTGAACTACAGCTGTATGACCCTTCAAGGAGGCAGAGTTGACTGGAGTCAAACCTTCCTGTAGAGAACATACAACAGACACTGGACATGGGACATGGTGTGAGGTGAGAATGGTTCATGAGCTCTGCTGTGGACTGGGTTTCTATACAGCAGTTATGTGGTGGTATTGTGGCTACATAATTGGTCCTGTCAAGGTCTGTCGCCTTGTTCAACGAAGTCTAAGTTGTCCGTTAGCAACAGTCGTAGATATAGTAACCATAACTGAAAGTAGGAATCAGGACAGTAGTATAGTCATCACCTTGTTTTGGTGGTTGACGTTGGCTCCTGCCTCCAACAGTCTCTGAACTGTCTCAGTATGTCCTTTACCAGCAGCTGCCCCCAGAGGAACACTGCATGATTCCTGGAGAGAGAAGACAGAAACTGAGACTAAATATCTCAGCACCTAATAAGGTATGGCTGCCATTATTATGGGCCAAACATGCTGTATCATTCACTTCACATCTTTTGGGTACTAAAGTGTGGTGTTTGTTGGTGTGTGTGAGATGCCAAAGAGTCTGCTGTGTACTTGTGCCTTTTCCCTATACTCTATGGTACAATGAGTGGAAAAATCTTTTCTCTGAAATGAAGGGCTGTAGGGATGCCACGTCATGAGAAAGGGAGGGGAACGGCAGAGAGAAAATGATCACCAAGGTTCACTAGGAGGTTGGTATCTTTGCATGTACACAGTGCTGGTGGTATGGAATGGTTTAGGTTGTTCTTGCTGAGTCATGAACCGATGCACTTTGTCCACAGATGACGCAAAATTAATATTGACTTGTTGCAGCCCTACATAGAGTGTCTACCGGCACTCTGACTTTCTACAGACTTTCTATTCTACATCGAGGCATTTTTGTGGCAGCAGTTAGCTATCCACTACAAAGCATAAATGTGTAAAATTGGACAATTCATCTCAAAAAAGTGGACAAATACCAAGAACAGATCGCAAGAAAACTGCATTTTTAAAAACTGAGAAGTGGACTCCTCAAACCTTTGACCTCTAGCTGTACACTCAACTGACTGTCCAAGCTTAGCAGACAGAGGGCGGGGGTTATTACACAGCAAAGGTGCACAAGCTACATGACACCATCCCTATATGTTTTATTGTTTATAAGAAAAGTTTAATATCGAACAAAGATATAGGATGGTGTCATGTAGCTTTGTGCAACTTTGCTGTGTAATAACCCCTTGTTTCTTCCTTTTTGGTGCTTCAAGCCATCCCTATATCCCCCTTTCATTTTGAAGAAATGACTTTTCCACTTGTACAATATCCAATAGGTAATACCGGGACAGCTCAAAGAGGCACAACACCCCTTTTACTAGAAGAAGGCAACACATTCTTGGCAAGTGAAGCGAGTTGTTCCGATTATTCACTCATTTCATGAATCACGCAAAACATCACGGTATGTGCAGTGCCTGTCACATAATAATTATATGGAAAATCGGCCGGTAGAAAGAAGTTGGTCCACTCGCCAATAACCACTAACACATTTTTAGGTTTCGAACTAGTTAAGTTAATAGGAAGACACTGTAAATCTATCCAACTCTCTCAGAATGTTTCACATACGTACCTTGGTTGTTGCCTGATTGACATCAGCTCCTGCTTTCACCAGAACATCCACCACCTCAGTGTGTCCATACTGACTGGCAACATAGAGTGGACTGAGACCATCCTGTACAGTGAGAGAGAACTAATGAGACATTCCTGACTCACTACTGACCACTCATCTCCCTCCCTGGACACCAGGAGACCTGACAACCATCTCAGTCAGGTCTCCTCCTCAATTTATATACAGATACTGCCATTATAACTATTCTGAAGTCTATCATAATACAGTGGGTCCGGGTTAATACCATACCCGCAGTGCATTACAAAAATATGACATTATGCGGGATAATCTATCAGAGCGTCGGTAGACGCTCTATAATTATAGTGATGACACGTATGAAATCTCACGTGATCCGCGTGTAAAACGCCTCATAATTTGACTCACCATTGCTTGAAAATCACTAGCAATAGTCTAGAGGCTCGCTATACATTATGCCCCGAGACTTCCTACGTGCCCTCAGTTCCCCACGAGAGAATTCACTCTTACGCGATTTCACGATTTTCGTGTCATCATCATCATCATCATCATATTCTTCATCTTCCGGTTTCTCTTCAGTAAACCCGCTATCTCGTTACCGAAAATAGTTGAAGTGCTGATTTTTTCCATCAAACGTTTCCAGATTCGCCAGAGGTGTGCACGGATACAGCAAAGATGCACAAAGCTACATGACACCATCCCTATATCTTTGTTTTATTGTTTATTGGCAAAGTTTAATATGAGACAAAGATATAGGGATGGTGTCATGTAGCTTTGTGCATCTTTGCTGTGTAATGACCCCTTGTTTCTTCCTTTTTGGTGCTTCAAGCCATCCCTATATCCCCCTTCATTTTGAAGAAATGATTTTTCCACTTGTATAATTATAATGCAGGCGCGCTATACTGTGTATACACAGGGTATGTATACCAATGTATATACATAGCGCACAATGCAGTTTGTTTAGCTAAGCTAACGAAGCTAGGCTAGCCTAGCTGTTTACATAAGCTAATGAAGCCAGGTGGAGAATGGAGAATGGAGAGTTGCAGCCTAAGGTTGTAGAATGCCTAATCACCCATGCGCCATAATGACAATTGCAGACAAAAAGCAAAATTGCATTTTTTCTATGGTAATAGGCGGGATATGACATTCTATAAAACAGAGTAAAATGTATGGGAAAGCATAGGAAATGGTTTTGGATTCAGGGATATTCTAATTATTAAGTGGGATCCGCTGTATTATACCTTTCACCTATTGTAGACACAGAGGGACACAAACCAAGTACTGTAACCTTACAGACACCAGCCACGCAAATGACTGCCCAATATTAAGCTTAGCAGACAGAGAAGTGTGCCACAATCTTTCCAGGGATCACTGGAGTCACAGATGTACCCATAGTCTAATAGCCTTGTTCCCAGGGCAGGAGTAAGAAATGACCTGGGAATGAGGAACAAGGCTACTCCTTGCCTAGCTAGCACACAGAGTGAAGACAACACGATGCCATTCCCATCACCACAACCTTAACATTGTGCCCCAACTTGATGTGCAATGCTGCTCTACAATGGTGTATAACACAATATCCAATGGGTAATACCGGGACAGGTACAACACCCCTTTTAAGAAGGCAACACATTCTTGGCAAGTGAAGCGAGCAGTTCCGATTATTCGCTCATTTCATGAATCACGTAGAACATTTCAGTGTGTGCAGTGCCCGTCACATAATATATATAGAAACTCGGCCGGTAGAAACGATTTGGTTCGCTTGCCAATAAACACTAACCTATTTTTAGGTTTTCGAACTAGTTAAGTTGATAATTCCATGAGCATTGTGTTAATAGGAAGACACTGTTAATCTATCCAACTCTCTCAGAATGTTTCACATACGTACCTGGTTGTTGCCTGATTGACATCAGCTCCAGCTTTCACCAGAACATCCACCACCTCAGTGTGTCCCTCTTGACTGGCAACATAGAGTGGACTGAGACCATCCTGTACAGTGAAAGAGAACTAATGATACATTCCCGGCTCACTACTGACCACTCATCTCCCTTCCTTGACACCAGGAGACCTGACAACCATCTCTGTCAGGTCTCATCCTCAATTTATATACAGATACTGTCATTGTCACTATTCTGAAGTCTATCATAATACAGTGGGTCCCGGATAATATCATACCCGCGGTGCATCAAAAATATGACATTATGCGGGATATTCTATAATGTGGGCGCGTATACTGTGTATACTCCGGGTGTGTATACTGTGTATATTGTGAACTAGATAGCGCACAATGCAGTTTGTTTAGCTAAGCTAATGAAGCTAGGGTAGCCAAGCTGTTTACATAAGCTAATGAAGCCAGGTGGAGAATGGAGAGTTGCAAAACTCCAGCCCAAGGTTGCCTAATCACGCATGCGCAATAATGACAATATGCGGGCAAAACCAAAATACTCATTTTTTCTATGGTAATAGGCGGGATATGACATTATCCGTATTCTCCGTATTCTATAAAACGGAGTAAAATGTATGGGAAAGCATAGGAAATGGTTTTGGATTTCAGGTTTGTATGATTATTAACGGGATATTCTATTAAACGGTGTGTATTACACCTTTCACCTATTGTAGACACAGAGGCACACAAACCAAGTACTGTAACCTTCGCTTCGCATGTGTGTCGAGGGTTAATGAACAATACAGTAGGACATTACATGGTTCCAACACCTTGTCAGGAATGAAGACTGCAGCCCCAGCCTTGAGCAACAGACGTACAACCTCAACATGACCTCTGAGAGAGGCTACCAGTAGAGCAGTGTCTCCTTCCTGCAAGTGGTGGGGATACAGAGACCAGTGGAGCAGCAGTCAATGAACTGAGTCAGAAATGAGACTACACATTCACTAGTAGAGAGCCTCACATCCTCAGTCCTGGAGTTGATATTGACAGAAGTGGAGAGGAGTCTCTCAACTGCCTCCACATCTCCTCTCTCAGCAGCATCGTGGAGCTCTGTTCTTTCCTGGGGAGAGGGAGAGACACAATGGTAGATAGAGAGAGATAGGGAGAGAGAAGTGTGGATAAAAAGAACACAGAAACAGGTTTAGTGGTGAAAGTAGCTACACCTCCGGTTGTACAAACCTGGGTAGAGACTTGTAGATATCTGTATAGGGAAAAGAACTGCTCAAAGCGGTCCAAAAACTGATTGACATAATAATACCTGAACTGGCAAGAATGGACATGTTGTGTAAAGTCAGACAACTCTCCTTTCCACCAACAGCCTTTCTCCTTGTGACGACAGAACACATGAAGTTCCTTCACTTGTCGACGGAAAAGCTTGTTCAGAACGGTACTCCAGTCAGGAGCCTTGCAGAGTGGACATGGTCCTCCCTCTCCCTGTATTCTGGTGGCAGACTCCTCTGAGAGATGTTTACCACAGCATGACGTGAGGTGAGGCTGGAGCAGTAGACCCAACGTCACCGGACAGAAGAAATCCTCTGATGGCTTCTCAACGAAGGGGTAATCCTCTTCTGGTGAGAGACGGGGTTTTTTTGCTTTGGGTCTGGATTGATGGTATAGTTGAAATGGAGTTCGACAATTCATCACTAAGGAATAGTAACATACTTAAGAAGTGATTTCTCATCAGAAGCAGCGGCACCAGCAGCTGAAGGTCCAGGACCAGGTGGCGAGACTGCTGCTGACTTCTGCCATACAGACATGGAGGTCTCAGGTAACAAGGAGTTATTATACAACACACAATCTCACCTGAGGAGGTGGATAAACCTTGACTCCTGCAATTTGAAGGCTGACGACAGTATACTTCTTGAGGATGAGGTGAGGGATGTCTTCTCTCAGTTTCTTGACAATGGACTCTGGTATGAACCAGGTGATGATGAAGGAACCGGGAAGGACTTTAGCCAACAGCATGGCACAGTCTCGAAGCTTGTAGTGATAGGCAAACTCTTGTCGAAACTGCTCCACAACTTCCAGTGTCACTTCGTGCGGCCAGTCAAACTCGGCGACAACCTCCTTGAAATCTTTAGACGGCTTCCTTCTCCTCCTCTTCTGACACTGGCAGAACAGAGCTAGTGGTGTCTTCTGGCGGAACCTCTGCAGATCTAGCTTGTAGGCCTCCATCTCCCTCCTCACCTCCAAACCAAACTCCTTGATCAGGTAGTCCAGCAACTGGTAGGACAAGTAGTCCCAGTGAAGTACACTCAGCTTTGCCGATCAGCTCCGGGATATCTGTTGACTGGTAGAGATCGCTCAGATTTTGTTTCAGAAACTGTCTATGTTCATCGTTATCATCTGGAGACATTGACGTGAGAGCATCAACTACTTCCTCAACCGAAATATTGCGTTTCTCGAGGCACCCCCTGGCAGCCTTCTTCAGGTCATTGAACCTCTTCTCAAACCTTCTAATCTTGGCCTGGACATACTGAGTGGTCATTGGACCTGTTGGACAGATCACGGTCACATAGAGTTATGGATCAGTGGCAATATCTCAGACAGGTGTGGAGCATACGTACTAGGCTGAGGTGACTCTGGTCGACGCTGGAGTTCAGTCACTGCATCCCCAGTTGCTGGAGATGAAGGAATACACGTTTTTATGAAGCGTTTTACACTATATAATAATTATATACAACTTGGAGCGCAATGTACACTAACTGCCACTCTAATAAGATTCATTGTTTCCTAAAGCATGCTAACTTTATTCATTACACATTAAAAACAGTTTTGAATGGGTGTGGTTCAACTGGATTACACTTGTTTGCATGGTCATCAACATAATATTGCTGGCACAAGCTAAACTTTTGAGAGGTAAAACATTCTACTACAATGAAAGATTGACACATGTGCCTCAGTATAGCAGTAGGTTGGCATTACGCTACACTTTTTAACAGCTACAGTAGTGGACTAACTTGTGGGTAGGTCTGGTTGAGGCCCCACTTCAGTGAGTGGTGAGGCTCCAGAACCTGTGGAAACATGGAGTATTCAAACAAGCATGTCTTGCAGAAATATGTACTATTTTTATGCTCAGAGCCAACACACAGTCTAAACCTGTATGAAGTTAGGTGAGTCATTACCATGGACAGGTGAGGAGAGGCCTGGTTGAGAGGAGGTGGCTGGACTCTGAGAGGAAGAGACTGAAACAGAGAGAGAGAGAGACAGTAATGAAAACTGAGGAGAAGAATCTCAAACACTCTTACCACTAGCTTCCGGAGATATGAGTGCTGGTGTAGTGTCGGGAAAGTGAGTTGCCTCCACAGCCATTGCTAGCTGAGGAAGATTGACTGCAGGACTTTTGAGGGCATCTACAACGACTCCCCAGGTTGATCTGGGCTCTACTTGGTTCAGGAACATCATGACGACTCGGAGGAGGCGCTTTGCTGGCTCGGAGTATGTTGAATGGATACCCTCAACTTGATGTGGCTCTAGATTCAGCTTCAGGCCCAGTTCGAAGGACTGGTTTTGTGCTGGTAGTAGCTCCTCCAGTACTTTGACGGCATCGTTCGGAGTGAGGACCTCGCCACCCGTCGTCGGTGCTGTGTACATTGGGATAAGCTTGTTAGCGATCAAGGCCACTCTAGATTATTGGCCTTTACCTTCGGCCATTACTACAAAAATCTCTGATCAAATCCCTTCATGGTGGTATAAATACACATACACTCATACGGAGCACGATCGAGGGAGCTAGGGCAGGGCTTGTCACGCCTCCAGCAGAGCTCCACCCACTGTTTTGACAAAAGCTCGAGCGCGCCCTGTCACCGCCTTGTGCAGAGTCTGCAGCATACTGTCATAGAGTATAATATCTGGAGGGTCTGTTTTCTTTTTTCTTACATGTGTAAAGGTATAAATGTAACTGAATTTGGATGACTGTCGTGTCTTCATCTTCGAGATCTGATGTTGATGCGATAGCATGCATGTATACCCTATTGATGTGTGACTTAGCAATTATTGGCTCAACCAACTCCTACTTTTAGGAGTTGGAGGGTATTATACAGATACTGTCGGATTTTGCATGAGATTCCTGCAATTCTACCCTCTCCCTCTTTCTTCTCTCCATCTCTCTTCTCCATAGCTATATACCCTTTGTCAATAAGTTGGCAACATAATTATAATTATACTCTCATGATGATGCTATAAGAAGGTTATGTCATTAGTTACTTGCCACTGCAACGATGTCAAGGCAGATAAAACTAATGGTGAAAAAGTAAACCAGAGATTTCAGTTGGTGTACAATCAGTGGTAGCTTAGTAGAGACAAAGTCAGTCAAGGTTTAGAGGGCATGTTAGTCCAGTCAAAGTCAGTCCAGTCATCCAGGACTGCAGTACGGACCAGAGCCTCAGACACCAGGTAGGGATCACCGTTACTGGACGGCCTTCTGTCTCTCAAGATAGCCTCGACCAGCTGCACACACACACACACACGTCATGTGGGAGAGGAGAGAAAGTTGATATTGTCATTATCATACCAATGCCTATTAGATACTTGTATAGAATCTGTACAAGTGCAGAAAAATGAAGGTATTAGACCATGTGATGCCAAGAGAAAAAAGATGGGAGCTCTGGACAGCTGTTTCGGGCTTGTTGGCCCTCATCAGCAGAGAATATATACCTCAACTTCTCTCCCTGGCATCACCAGTTTATAAAGGCTACCAGGAGCGCAACACTTGTGGTTTTGAACTAATGAGATTCATCCACACAAGCCACTGGTATGTGCTGCTGCCGGTAAAGAACACCCACTGTAAACAAAGAGCTCTCTAGCACACTTTCATTGTAGTGGTCAAATGCTACAAGAGAGACTCCAACTTGTTCTAGTCAAGTGGATAATGGTTCTATGCTAATAATGATGTCATAATTATGTCAACCTTGAGCGACTCCACGAGGTATTCTGATGGAGGCTCCTCTGTGGGCCACTCCCCAGAAGAACTGGTCAATGTGAGCTGTCTCGTGAAGACCTGTCAGTCTACGACTGTTGTCTACTCCCTGGGTCGGAGAGAAAGAGGGGAGGAGGGAGAATAGGAGATAGGAGAGAGAAAGAATGATAAAAAACGGGTTATACTTGTTCACCACCATTCCATAAATCCAGACTCCATGCACTTGCCATTCGTATAATGCAGACTACTGTTAGTGAGTGAAGAAATGATGAAAGTGCCTGATTATAACCAAACTTCCCTTCCCCACTCTCGCCCCCTCCCTCTCTCCCCTCCACTCACTCCACTGGGGTCATAGAGTATGATGTGTTCCTTGTGTCTCTTCTCCAGTCTCTGAATGGCCTCCTCCATCACCTGCAGCACACACACACAATCACATTCTTGTCTCCTATTGTTATGGGTACTGTGCATATCGTCCGGGAATGGGAGGAAAGGCCGAAGTCTAGGAGGTACGTAAAAACAGACATATCTCATTGTTGGCTCAGCCCAGTACTGTATGTGTGTGCATGTGGGCTATGGTCCTAGTGCTACTTGTCCAAACCTTTGAATCTTGAAAAAACCTTATACACACATCAGGCACACTTGGTATACCACTACCTTTGAAATCTCTCTAGTTCTACATAACACTGGAGTATGTACAGACCTGGAGACCCATAGTTCATCTCCCATGGCGGTCCCTGGACAAGGTCCAACCTGGTACTCCCACTGAGCTGGCATCACCTCTGCATTGGAGCCACTCACACACAGCCCTGCGTACAGACACGCCTTGTAGTGGGCCTCTGATATCTGAGTACAGTGGGACACAAAACACCACGTGATAGACATGACAGTTATGTGGGCACATGTGTAAAATGGCCTATCATCAATGCACCAGGCACTTCCTTTTTAGGTTCTTCAGGGCTTAGTAACCAAACAGAAGAAGGAACAATTCACAGTACATGATACACTGGTTAAACACACAGTAAGTATGCTATAAGGGAACAGGGCTAGGAGTTAGACTAGACCATGAAACAACAGAAAACAGTAAACCATGACTTAATGAAGCAATGCCCCTTTTTACCTGACACTGTTACCTTTAGCATAGAGATTGCCACTCCTCTTTTAATTGGGACTACAATGTGCTCACTTGATGAACTACAGGTTGATATATACATCACAGTGTATGTGTGCACAAGGCCGGCGATGCATGCGCGCAAAACGACAAAAATGGGGGTTCCGCGGAACCAAAGGAACCCCCTGGATCCGCCACTGTGTGTGTGTGTGTCAATGTGGGGTGGGGCAGACCTGTCTCCCAAAGACGTTGGTGGCTCCCACGGCACAGTAGTAGGGACCTTGCTGTCCAGGGTAGCCCGACTTTGGCCAGCCACAAAATGTGTTGCTTTCAATCGTTTCTTTTTTTGACGGAGTTTTCACGTAAAGTAAACTACGCACATTCTATCAGGTTTAGTTGGTAGAGAGTGTGTGGGTGTTTTACTTCCACGTGTCAACAAAAAGGTGAGACGTAGAATGGCAAGGGCAAAGCAAACAAGTCAACTACATGTAACATGGTGACCTCCAGTAGTACACACCTCTCCATTATCCTGTCACAACAGTATCTCTTGTATTGCTTGTTTAGTTGGGTGAGGTGTCCCGTCCTTGGAATACGTCTCACACATCACTAGGATACTGTTACCCTGCACAACAACCACAGAATTTCTGCACAACAACCACTGAATTTCTAGTCCATAGCTTAGCAATAACATCACATAATCCTATGAAGTAAATTATGTCAATGAAGAACAAGAACAAATGCCTACATAAATATGACGCACTGACTAAAGCCAATATGTACATGGCACATGTCTAAAGTCTAATGCAACCATACCTGGGTATATGATAGCCCATGAAACATGTTGCATGAGAAAAGGAGTGTTGTCTATTGCATGAAACATGCAGACACATCATACCCATACCTTTACGTTGCATGAGACCATGAATGTTGGCCTTTTCTCATACATTAGGATGCTGAGATTGACCAAACACATTAACACTAGTTATAGAGGTTAATGCAGACCAGGAAGAAAGGGTCTCTATAGAAGTTGACTGGTTTCAGGAGAACGTCACTGTCATGACCTTTGGCCTGGGAAGTGCTGTGAGGATATGATTAAAGTGAGGGAAGGAGGAGAAAGGTGGTGATGTGATGGCAAATGTGCAAGACGAGCTTGTATATTTATGGGTCTGAATGCAAGAGAGACACAAGATAGTGAAACTTACAGCTAGAGTGCTGGTGCCTAGACTGCAGAAGCTGTTTGCGCGGCTCTGAAACGGTTGCGTGAATGCTCTTTACATCGTGTGGCTTTAGATTCAGCCTCAGGCCCAGTTCGAAGGACTGGTTCAGTGCTGGTAGTAGCTCCTCCAGTACTTTGACGGCATCGTTTGGAGTCAGGACCTCGCCACCCGTCATCGATGCGGTGTACAATGGAAAATCTCACAAAGTAATCCACTGCAAAATAACTTTACCTTCGGCCATTACAATCTATCTGCACGCACATACAGACGATCCAGGGGGCGCAGGGGTTAAGATCATACACACGCATAGGCGCTCTTGAACGACTGTCATCCACTGTCCATGTTAGTCTCCAGACTTCTTGGTTCGCTAGACTAGAGCAAGATGGTGTCACTTGTATCAGCGACGTGGCTGAGGCAGCAGGTGGTTAGTGGACTGAAGAACATCAGAATACTAGACGGTGGGTGAGAGATGCTACACACTCTACGATGTAGCTAAGATGTCTACAATCACTTATGTTCAGCCTCGTGGACCATGTTTTTCCTCTTCCGTGTCCTGAATGCATTTGCCTTGTACTGACACCCACTGGTAATGAGAGCTAATGCAGACGTTGCTGTCTACTATTCCATGTGTCCAGATGGGAGTGGGTAATAAAGATCATGTGGTGGTGTACGATGGACACAGTGAGGGACTGATGGCCTCTGCTAGAGTCTGGTGGATGTTCAGAGTCAGTTCAGCTTCTATGTAATGTCCTTTGCAACATGTTGCTTGAAATTGAAGTATTGTTTATTGCGCGCGACCCATCATGCAGACATACATTGATGTTGCATGCACTGACATGTGTGTGTGTACAAGCAAGAGCTCAGGTAGACGAGACTAGAAAATAATAAAGCAGCAAACGATGCAAGTAGCGTATGTTCATGGTGTTTGTGCACATTGTTGAGATTAAGCTGTCTTCACGATCTCTGCTACTATTTCTTTTAAGAAAGCCCAAATTTATATTAAGTAGCTGTCATGTTCTGTCCACAGTTGTTTGGTCACGAGAGAGTGTCGGTGCTGGGTGGGGGTCTGAGGAGATGGAAATTTAACTGGTTCCCCACAGTCTGAGAGGAACCCCACACACCAGAGGCCACTAATTTCACTGCAACTTTCAGCCCTCACTTGCTCAGAACTTATGAGCAGATGTTGGATAACCACACATCTCGTCGTGAACAGGTCACTTCTGTAGGACTGTGATAATCACAGCAAATTCATTTCCCTGCCTCTGACTAATAAACTGTAACCACAAAAGAGGACCCTCTTAAAGGACACTTGGTTCTGGCCAATACAGATAAATTAGTGCATTAGATAGCTACCCTACCTACATAAAGGATGGCTCTGAATGATGGACACATTTCACTGAAATTTTGGCCAATAAATTTGGTGTTATGATAGTCTATGGAAAACCTTCATACCTTTGTACTGTTAAACGATTGGTCAACATATTATTATAGTCATGTTACCTACAGTGGAACTTGTTATAATGGACCCTTCTAAAAGCGAAGAAGCACAAGTAAACCATAGCACTGGTAAAGAAACCTCTGGAAAGTTGGTGTCCCATGCCTTCGAGTAGATGGACCAGTAAAAGATCTGTAAAGTACAGTGTCCAGTAAAATATTAGGAACTTTGGTTGCAAGTGTAGGATAGCTATTTCTCTTTCTTAGCCAAGTGCCCTGTACTAACATTAAAAAGCTGAATGTCTGGTATGGGTTGCAAGATTACATGTGTTGATATCAATGTAGGCAAAATGATATCCCCCCTCTTCCCTCTCTCTCCCTCTCTCTCTGTCTCTCTCTAGAGTTCCAGAGGTCTGGAGTGGACTTAACCCAGCCAGTGGTTGCCACATGTGGTAGTGGTGTCACTGCAGCTCTCATTGCTCTAGCTGCACACTCTCTCAACACCACCACCCCTCTCTATGATGTAAGATAGTACACTACCATCGTCTCTCTGTATGTAAATCACACACAAAAATAGGAGACCTTTTGTAATAGAAAGGCCACTTTCTGTTGCGTGAGATATGGTAAATGTATCATGGTGTATAGGCTGTGACACAAAGTAGAAGGCAAACCTATTGATGGAACATGTTGCATGGTTTGAAGTTGCAAAAAAGTTATAGTCATTGATGGGGGAGTGCAGTATAATTATGCTATGCTGATGTAGGCTATAAAAACGCCCAAAACACTTCTCCATAGCCATGTCTCCTTTACTAAGACCATCACCAAAAAGAGTGTTGTTGTTGTTGTAGGGGTCGTGGAGTGAGTGGAGACAGAGAGCTCCTCTCCAGACAGTGACAACTGGAGTTACTCAACTACCACACAACACTCCATCCTAGTTACTAGTTACAATGTACCATCCTCCTTACATTATGCTTGTCACTGTAACAATAAGCATGGTGTATTTTGACAAGTTGTACACCAGTCACCATCTAATTAATTTATAATTTTTTGTGTACCGTGAGTATATATTGCAGTATGTGAAGCGTGCAATGTACAGGTTTCATAGTTCCAGTTTTATTGTCGACTGCCCCAGTCTCAAAAACACTTGCTATGCATGCTGTTCTGATTAAGTGCATCGATTACTGTGTCAGTAGTCCAGGTGTGTTGATACTATTGGCAGGGCAGGTTTTGTCGCTGTTCGATGCAGATTTTAATAATGTAAATATTCCGTGCTCACATCAAAAAAACAAGATCTGTAAAGTACAGTTATAGAAAGTCACGTAAAAATGTGTTGTGCGCGGTTGTAAAAGTGGCTATAGTCTAGTCTTTTCACTTTGGCTTGTGTTGCAGTAGATCATTGTGGTTGTTGGCTCTGTTGGCTAAAGTCACATAAAAAGTTGTGTATTATGTAGTTGTAACTGTGGTTAGTTTATTACTTTGGCTGGTGATGCAGTAGATACTGCAACACATCATTGTGGTTGTTGGCTCTGGCCATACTCAGAGCAGTGTTTCCAAACTGTAGAGAGAGGCATTCATCAGACAATGAAGAGAGAGAGAAGATAGCCAACTATACTATAGAGACAGGCAGAGAGAGAATTCCATCAGGATAGACAGTAGGACACTCTTTTCTCTACATGTTTAGAGTTGGTCTACCTTATCAGGAATGTCTCTGGCCCCAGCTCCTAGTAGTAGTTTCACCACCTCTGAGTGACCTTTCCATCCTGCATAGAGCAAGGCTGTGACTCCACTCTGTGTGGAGAAGAAGTCAATGAGTGGCAAATACACAATGCAAACACTTCAAGGTGACACTTTGATAATCAACAAGTAAGGTAAAGGGGGGTAACTTCGGACACTGGGTAATACACGGACATAACTCGCTATTCAGAAACAAGAGAAAGATTCGGATATTATATTTCACTTGATTGCTACCTACCAAAGCGCTGACAAATCTTCTTCACATTGTTTTGCGCAGCGAATAATTTCAAGGCTGGTGTTACACCCCATGTCCGGAGTTACCTCAGTGTCTGGAGTTACCCCCATTTACTTTATTATTACTGTGTAGCTACACCTGAGCTGTCATCATTACCAAGAGAGAGTGGAAAGACACGAAGGAGAGAGAAGAAAGATAGGTGTGTATGTATATACTGTAAGTGTAGACAACCAAAACACACACCTTGTTCTGGTGGTTGACGTTGGCTCCTGCCTCCAACAGTCTCTGAACTGTCTCAGTATGTCCCTTCTCGGCAGCTATCCCCAGAGGAACATCACAAACCTGAACCAGGGAAATACAACTGTTACACATACATCTCAACCCCAATTGACCTGAGAGCATGATAAATGCATTGGTAAGCACGGACAGCGAGACGAAGAGAGCAAACTAGCGGGACAGTCCTCACTGATTCGGGACGCTTGAGACCTAAGCTATTGAAGGTCTAACTCACGTTCTAAACTCCAAAAGCTAATGTATAAGGTCTGTCACCAGTCACCAGTAAGTATCAGTATGTGAGGCTGTAGATATAATATTAGGTAAATCGCTTTTGACATGTGAGTTGACCTTCAAATTGGAAAATGGGCCCAAACCGAGTACTACTGTCAAATGGCTTGGACTTGTAAAATATGATGTATGCCTTAGCTTAAAGTTGTTTTAACTATGGTACCAGCAGAAAAAACGCAACCAAAATACAAAGTGGTTTCTACACACACTACACTACCAAAAGTACTGTAGTGTAATTACAATATACTCTGATCTACACGCGCAAGCCCAGATGTGTTTCTAAGTGTAGCTACGCCGTAGCTACAACTTATACAAAATACACTGGACACGTGCGCGTAACGAGATGGTAGTTTTTACTACGATGGACTGAAGAGCGTAGTTATTACGAGTCTATAACATACACGACACCGAGCGACTCTGATATATGGCGCGGTCAGTCACCTATCTTGAGACAGCGGTCAGTCACCCTGCTTGAGATGGACGCCATGGTCAGCAGCAGCGACATTTTAAAAACATCACGTGAAGGGTGAAGCTCTAAACAGATACACTACAATGCAAGAAGTCTTTACCATAAGATAGATGTGAGACTATGCGTAGTTTCTACTGTGCCCTTGAGAAGCCTGATATTGTATGCATCCGAACAGGCTCTGTGATGAAATTGGGTGTTGCAGTGTTTCTATACAAGGGTACCATTGTATACGGACATGACAGACTCAATCCTAGTTCAATATTTTCGTACAACAATACATTTTGCCCTATGTAACCAGACAGACAACAGAGCTACATGACTCGACTCAGGTTGTCTTGTGCAACCTGAACATTCCTCACCTGCCCCTGACTACACCTCCCACAGGTAGAAAATACCATGTGATGCCAAGAGAAAACAAAAACTGTGGAGCTCTGGACAGCTGTTTGGGCATCATCAGCAAGAGCATACCACTCTCTGGCAGCACTTGTGGTTCTGAACTAATGAGATTCATCCCACAAGTCTTTGCCACTGGTATCTGCTGACCCTGCCCAGACATTTGTGGTTGGAGCCTAGGCCCCTCCCCACTCCTGCTGGTCAAGGCCAGCACCGAGCCAAAACCCGAATTCAAAACAATTGACATAGTGGATTGGGCCGCGGCAATGAAGCCAGCAAGCACCCATATCCTGCCAGTGCATACACATGTAGAAAATATGTTATCCTGTTCCCCCATATAACTCGCCCCTTACACTCACAGACTATAAAAGCACCTTGCTAAATCCATATGTGTGCTCGACCTGATATTGGTATTGCTATACCTGAGGAAGCTGTTGAACGCGCATAAGCCACGCTACAATATCTAAAACGCTATAATGGATGTGGTGATTAGCCTCCAGTGATCATACCTTGGTGGTGGCCTGGTGGACATCAGCACCAGCCTCTAGCAGAATGTCCACTACATCAGAGTGTCCCTCTTGACTGGCAACATAGAGTGGACTGGCACCATCCTGTACAGTGAGAGAGTATGAAGTAGGACACCACTAGTGAGGTAGTCTGGAACCTAGAGTCCAACTGCTCATTATAATACCACTAGAATGTTCTAATGTGGATGGGGAATTCATATGAGTGCAATAATTAACCCAGATTGCAAGGAGGCAAGTTCGTTCACTCCGCGTGAGGCTGGGCAACTTTCATTACTATAATATTTATCAGCTACATATGTAGCTATCCATTGAACAGCTTGAGGCACAGCAATGCTGGACTTCACCTGTTCCTTTTCTCCCCCACTCTACAGTGTGCAGCAACTGGCAACAAACACCAGCCACATGCAGTGGTTTATCTTTAATTCCTTCTGTGTCTGGACTCCATTTAAATGGATGTAAAATATTGATGTCTGCCTTAGATATAAAGTTCTTTTAACTATGGTACCAGTAAGAAAAAACACACCAAAAATACAAAGTGGTTTCTACACACTACACTACAAAAGCGTACTGTAGTGTAATTACAATATTCTCTGATCTACACGCGAAGCTACAACTTCTACAACATACAATGACGCGTGCGCGTAAACGAGGGATTGATTTTTTTCAAAAGTTTCGTGGAGTTTGGTGGGCGATAGAC